GCCCTCACTCGTTCCACTCGCTACAGAAAACATGACTTGCGCTGTTCTCCCGCGGCCGTCACTCGTCCTGCTTGACAGAGTAAACATGACTCGCGCCGTTCTCCCGCGGCCCTCACTCGTCCCGCTCGCCACAGTAAACATGACTCGCGCCGTTCTCCCGCGGCCCTCACTCGTCCCGCTCGCCACAGTAAACATGATGAATGGCGACTGTAGAATGCAAAAGCCGAATCCCGGACATTTTGGCCAATCTCGAAACACATTTTCGGGGAGACTCATCACAGAGACTCACTAGTAGCCTAGACTTGTTGTTTAACTCCTGCGCTCTCTTACCGGTAGGCGTGGCCTCCTAGGGAAGCGAAGAAAGTGCATTCTGGGAGTTTTTCTCTTTCATCCACATAAGCCAAAGATACATTTTCTGGCTTTTCTCAGTCTAGAAAGCTCCAAATTAAAAAAATAATTTCACATTTCTTCTACATAAATGACCCATTTTAAATACACATTCATCTTTCCAGAGGTGAAGTATCCCTTCAAAGAACAGTACTTTGAAGCAGAGTAAAAGCAGCGTACAACGGTCACACAAGCGATGAGGTACCAAGTCCTTTCTGATGTGTTTAACGAGATACAGAAATACCCCTGATCCACACCAGCGCTACAAAAGGTGCAGCTACACAACAACTGAGATTTATCTAGCTGAACTATCCATCACTGGAAGTGACAAACCCCTTGACTACATGTGCGTGAACAAAGATCGCTGTCCATTGCTTGCACAGAATGCATGCAGATATTTATCAGCACCAGCACAGATAGTAAGAAACTATTCAGTACAGAATCTTATATTCTTGATGAGAAGAGGAATAGTCTCTTCAGTAAGATAGCTTAGAACCATTGTACTTGAAGAGAATCCGGCCACTATTACTTAAATAAAAACCAGTCCAGTTTGCTATGTTTAGTTGTTTACATTAAAATTGTGGAGACCTGTGATACTTTGTTCTTGACTTGAGGCTACATCTGTTGTTTTTATTTCCTTTATTAGTGCTCCTGTCCTGGTTCACCCTAATCTGAACATCGCCCTCGTGTGGAGGTCAATACCTTCTCCGCTACCATTCGCTATCATTGAACAATATAGTCACATACTGGCTCAGACTTCCACCACCACACTACAACCTCACACCCATGTTTCATAAGTCACTTCTCACTGTCAGGACTTTACCGGGCTTTCTCTCTCCATGCCCATGGCACTCTCTCTCCCTAGACCATAGAGGCTCCCGAGCATCAACTGGAATGGCCGAGCAACCAAGGAAATCACACAGAAAATCACAAGATTTTCTCCAACCATTTTAACCAATAAATAATAATAATTATTATTATTATTATTATTATTCAATAATCAATATGTAGATATGTAACGGAGTTATGTTTAAATTCATGCATAAATTGGGAAAACTGGACATTGGCTGTTATGTCTCTTGCATCAGCGTACGTACTTTTATGGGCGGAGCTACGTCACCAGCAGCAGATTCTCTGGTATGTCGCATTTATAAGCGCTGTGTCATAAAAATTAGTTTATATAGTCTTTAAGTACAAAGGATGGATTTTATATTACACACAAGTATACATTAAACTGTTAGTTACTAGTTTTACTAGGATTACCCCCTTGGGTTGAACGACCACTTTGCGGTTCATGCTACATACTTCGATACAGTAGGTGGCGGTATGCACCTTTAAAAGACATGGTTGCAATCTGCCATGAAAGAAGAAGAAGAAGAAGAAGAAGAAGAAGAAGAAGAAGAAGACCACAATTTGGTTTCTGCAAACAGTCGTGACTAGCTAGTTGATTTCTTCCAAAGGGGTAATCCATCAGCCTGAAGTTGAAGCCGGCCAGGTGCCGCCATCTTGTAGCAGAACTTCACTTGAGTTAGCATTTCCATTGACTCCCATTCATTTTGGCATCACTTTGACAGCGAATAACTTTTCATGTGAGGCGTTTGAAGACTCCATTTGTCCATTATTTATTTCTAAAGAAACACAACAATGTATAAAATGCTCCATTACCTTGTGGCGTATGTTATGGCCCCGTAGTCCGTAGAAGCAGTTTTTTTTTTTTTTTTTTGTAAAAGTAGGCTAACGATTGCGTCATAACCACGCGACTTTCTGTCGCATTGAAGAGAGATTACCGTATGGACAGGAGGAGAAGCTCGCAGGCAATCGGGGAAACGTGGAGGCAAAATGACAAAATAATTCATCAGAATACCTAGCAAAAGTTTATCCTGCTCCTAGCTCATGGACAGCCTACTCACACTCTCCGCCACTGCAAGTTTCTGAAAGGAATGATGCAGATTTCTCATGCTACACCCACTAGAAGACAGAGGGGTTGCTTACGTCACATCTCGGTTTGAGTGCGGTTTGAGTCTGCGCGTCAGGAACGGAAGTCCTAAAAAATCGCTAAAATGGGCTTCATTTGTCTCAATTGAGTTCCAATGAGATGGCTCTGCTGCTTCTTATAGAGTCTATGATTTCTGCAGATGCATCTACGGCAGTGAAGCATCGAGTTAACATCGTTGCAAACGCTCCCCTGGATGGCAAAACAACCACAGAACACAAATTTAATTAAAGTACCATAATGTAGGCCTACTAAAATGGTGACATTTAAAATATTAAATTCAGCAATTAAAAAAAAAACAAAAAAAAAAAACAACACATCTCCAGACGCAACGCTCCTTTCCATTGTTATTTGCATAAAAGTTGGCTACAAACACGTTTGGTGTGAGCAGTTTGTTGTTCGTTTACTGTAGCTCACAGAAGTCGTTACTTAACCAGCCTTATGTTTAGGCATAAGCCTAAGTGTTCGTGTTCCTGTTGTGGGACTGTCAGTCGCCAGGCTTCAGTAAAACATTATTGTTGCAAAGATCTGTAAAGGTGTTCATCGAAATTTATAACTTGTGTCTGAAGGCTGATTAATATATCTGTTAAGCCCACCTAAGCATGTCTTGCATTTGTCATCGATAACCGCTTGTTTTAAAATCTTCCTGGTCTACTGACAACATCCACATCAAACATTACAATGCTCAAGATAACTTTCGTTAACTCTACAATGAGTAAATCCACTTAACCAGATAGCTAATTACTCTTCAACAACGATAGGCCCAACCGTACAAATATCAGAACTACTACAAAAACGGAAGTTCAGACGAAATACTAAAGATGGCTTTACTTGCTTGTTTCTCTGGTGCAATAAGGTCTAGACCAGGATTTAGGATTGTTTTTAGATGAGAAAGTAATTTTCAAGCGTCAGGCTGTTTTTATAGTGGGGGGGTTTATGAATAGCCTATCCCACATCAGATTTGAATGGAATGCAGCAATAACTATTAGCATTATGAAAGGTATGTTCCATCATTCTGTCTTTACAGCTAGTTTTACTGCTGTGGTATGTCAACAAACCACAAGCTTCTTGTGAAGGCACTACAGAGAAATAATTGCAGGTCGTCTGGTTTCCCTCCCAGCTCTAATTGTGTGCTTTCGAGCGGCTCACAGGTGTTTCACAGTGGGATGGTCTAATCTAAAGGATTGGAATGGCAAAATTGTTTTTTCCTCCTCTTTCATTCTTTGTCTTACTCACACTCAAGGGCATGCCACAAAGTTAACACTAAACCATTGAAGCCCTCCAGGTATGGAATGCTAACAATTTTAACTTTTTCTCTATTCGTTTCTTTTTTGTTTAAAATATAAATGTTTGTCGTGTGTATCCCAAAGACCTTGACATGACAGTTTACTCCTAAGAAAGGACCAGTCAAACATAAGTGGCACGCCTTACTTCTTTTCTTTACATTATATTACAGAGCCATCTAGTGATTAAAATATATTACAGCAGCCATTTCTGACATTTATCAAATGATATGGCCTATCCAACACAGTCTCATGAAAGTGCGTATCTATACCACGATTGTCATTTCTCGTGGCATTTATACGCCAAATATGGTTTTTGCGTGCATACGCACTGAACCCCACTGTTTAGGGGGAAGGGGGGTGGGGAGTTCGTACTTATTATACGCCAAAAAGTGCGTATCATATGCACGCGAAAAACGCGTACCATATGCAAAAAGTAGTTTTGGCGTATAAATGGCACGAGAAATGACATTCTTGCTATAGATACGAACTTTCATGAGGCCTATCACGCATGTCACTTGTTCAGCGATTTTTTTTTTTTAAATAAAGAAGTTAATAGTTTTATTCAGCTTTTACACATTACATTGATCAAGACATTTAATTTCTGTTTCAAACAAATGCCGTACTTTTGAACTTTCTAAAGAATCCTGAAGAAAATGTCTCATTGTTTCCAATATATATATATATATATATATATATATATATATATATATATATATATATAAAAGCCTCACAACATGTTTTCAACATTGATGATGTTTCTTGAGCATCAAATCAGCATAATATAATAATTTCTGAAAGATCATGTTCATGTGACACTGAAGACTGAAGTAATGATGCTGAAAATTCAGCTTTGATCACAGAAATGTATCACGATAGAAAGGTTATTTTAAACTGTCTCAATATCACTTTACTGTATTTAAGTAAATGCAGCCTTATTTACACATTTATGCACACAGTAAAATGACATGAAAATATAATTTGCTTGACAGAGCATCACGCACATGCCTAAATGGCTTAAAACAAAAATGTTTGCTTATACAGGACTAATACGAGACATTTCCACTGCTGTGTGCATTTTAAAGTTTTTAATTGTATTTGATTAGACTTTAAATATATATAATACATAGGCTATATGCAGAGAAAAAATATTTACGACTTTTTAAAATGCCTCAGGCTTTCACATGGACAACTGAAAACTACACTGTGGTGTAGTCCAAGTTCAGCTTAACTATTTGCATGTCACATGGCGATAACTATCCAATCGGGTACTAGGTTATCTGACCTATGTATTTAGTCCGGAAAATAAACATAAAAGCTAAACTGTCAACGGAGTCTGTTCTCCGCTAACAGATTTATTGGGTTTAAGTCCATATAAGACGATGAGTTAAATTACAAACCATATAGACTGTGTGCAACTAAATATGCAAGTACTAGTGGGACTGGATGAGCAGTTTAGAAGTTTTTACCCGCACTCGAGCCGGTCTGCGCCAGGAACTCCGCTGTTCTCTTCAGCTGAACGACTTACTTCTATAAACTCCGACTCTCTTACTCCTTACGCTTCGTTTCCAGACCATATTCCCCAAAATTCCTCAGTCACTTATGGATGTAATTTCGGAAACATTTGTTATTGCTGCAAAGTACCACAGAACGCTTTGTTTCCGCCTAGTTTTGTGAAACAAAGTGCGAATGGACAGTCTGAACCCGTAGATTATGATGCCTCCAGATGGCTTAAGGAGTTCGCTCTCTACCAAGGTCATTCCTACCCAAGAATCCCTGCCTGTATTGATTTACCTATAGTTCATGCAGGAGATCACACACATGAGACTGGTTGGACAATGGAAGACCACCAACCATGGGACTGGTCAAACAACTGCAGCAGGAGTCAACTTTATTACTGCAAAGACCAGACGCAGAGCCCGCATATCTGGAAACCATCATTGTCAGGTAAAAGACTTGAGGTCTGCTCTGTGAATCACTCCTCGCCTCTCTTCATTAGTTGCGTATAAAGTCAGAACTTTTTTAAAGAGGCGCAAATTATGCACAAATTCTCCGATCGAAGGATCAAGAGATTTTCCCATCTTGTGTTCATTGACAGAGGGTATCCTCAATTTAAAACATGTATTTTATCTTTTCTTGTAGGCTACAAACTATGGGCACCGCCTAAATGTCAAAATCATGTCCGTATCGAGATCATTAAAAACATACATCCTTCAAAGCAGAAGCACAGATTTAGTACGCTAAAAGCTGAAATTATTCTTGACTCAAATTAAAAAGAAAATGCGTTATTTTAAACCTAATTTGAGTTTATTTAATGAAAATGAACATGTCGCGCTTTAAAAAAAGACGGCAAGGTCAGATACGATTTCATAAATGCTATCTTGGAATAATGGAAAGGTCTTGTAACAGAAGATTAATTGATTAAAATGACTTGTATTTCCCCAGAGGGAAGAGTTTCGTCCTGTCAGCGCGGGAGAAAGAAACGTGTTCCTTACACAAAACTGCAGCTGAAAGAACTCGAGCGGGAATTCACCAACACTAAGTTCATTACTAAAGAGAAGAAACGGAGGATCTCTGCTTCTACCAATCTGTCAGAAAGACAAGTCACGATATGGTTTCAAAACCGTCGAGTCAAGGATAAGAGGAAACCTAACAAAGACCTTCAACGCTTTTAACATTAAAAGCGCTATATAAATGAAGATGACTGACCTAAAATAATTTTAATCCTGTTAAAGATTAATTTATACAATTGCTGATAGGCTAGACGAGCTCTTTGTCCTCTTTAGTGATGGCTATAAATATTATCTTTTTCAAATATTTATAGTACTTAAAGTGGCAGCTCAGATGTCCAGCTTTGAGTTTTGAGATTGTCATTGTATTTCAGTAGTGTCAGATAAAAACAAATCTTATTTTTCAAAATAATTGAAATATTGTTAAACCATTTTTTGTCATTTTGTAGCAGTATAGCCTGCTTTCTATATCCCAGACCACTGTTCTTTCCATGCTGTCAAAATGTGCAAATTGTGTACCATATTTGTTTATATTAGGCTACCAGAGTTGTAAGTGGAAAATCCAGAATGCAACACTGACGTAAATAAACTTAATTAAATAAAATAAAACGTTTCATGACATTTAGCATGTGGGCTAGGGGGAAAATTTAAAACATTTGTTTGTCGGTGTTCTCTTTATCTCTCGTGCAAATAGAATCATTCTATCGTGGACAGATTTAGAAAATTTCAACAACGACCGTGACTGGTTTTCCCGTGAAACCACGTAAATATGGCAAGAAAGACGCAGTCTTTTGATAATTAATTTATTTCCGCTTCAATTTGAATTATTCACAGAGATATGCTTGCATTTTACTGTGTTTAGTGTCATTGCAGCTTCACAGTGAAGCATTTGCCAAAAGCGCTTTCCCATTCCATGCCACGTGATTGGCTTGCATTTAGTAGCCTATTTGACAGTCGGCCTTTACTTTTATGTTGGACAACTTTGATTATAACGAATTAATTCAGTAGAGGATTGATATTCTTAAAAGCATGTAGCCTATTTCACAACTGTTGAGACTTGCAATGTTTTTTTTTTTTTTCACAATGGTGTCCAAATTAATTGATGTGAATATTATTAGCACGATTTTCAGACTCACAGTAATTTTGAGCAGCCAAATTAAGTTGGTTATTGTATGGATTGATTGATTGATAATAAAATTTTGTCTATTTTCGAAAAGCAAAAAACTCAAAATAAACAGCTAAATGCACGTTTTTTGTTGCCTTTTATAAAAATAAATATATACTAATCACCTTCTTTTGAAACTGGGTGTTCTCGGTGACCTTGAGACACATTGTCAGACTAAACCTTGACTTCAATGGGTCTCATGAATAATACTTGCCAAAAATTCATGAAGCTGCGTCGCCATCTATAGGTCAGCATGTGCCTTGCATTAAGATCATTTATAATCCAAGAAATACTGTTTGTATTAAAAAATGTCTTGCATTTTACGATTGTTTTTCAACTGTTTTGACCATGTGAAAAAGAATATGGCGCTGTGAGTTTTGAATAAATATGTAGGATATTAAGGCTAATATGAAGGTAATCTGTCACAATTTGGAAAAAATTTACAATCCACCTTCATGAAAAGACTTCCATCCGGGGGCTGAGAAATCTCAACACAATAATAACAATTCCTAGCTGTTTTATGTTTTGCCGAATTGGTTGGCGAATTCGTACAAAGGGTTTAACAACGACTGCACTTAAACTTTTAAAGAAAATGTGTATAGTTCAGTCTGTTAAAAACGCCGCTTTTTCAAAATATCTGCCTTTTAAATTGAATTTTAAAAGAATTAGACGGTCAAACGTATTTTTCCTTCTGTTTTCTGTCTAATTAAATGCACTTGGACTTGTTTTGGTAAAATCTGCGTCTGGACTTTGACCTTGAACTATACTGTTGTAGGCTTCTACCATATCCTTTCCATGAAGGCTAAATATTTTTTAACGTTGAACGGATGAGAGTTCTGTGGTTTAAACACGCAACAGAACGTGAAACAGTCTAAATCAATCCCATTTAAAAGGTTTTAATGCATTTACTGGACTCGTAAAAAGTGGGAGGTTGTAGCCTACTGTCTCCACTCTTTCCGGAAATTGCCTGTTTACAATAGTCATTTTGTCTGCTCCTTCATATGTGCACTTTCTTTAAAACGTGTTTTGGATCATCTGGACAAATCTTAAGGTAAGATAAAAATGACTTGCCTACCCTGACCTACCCTTACAATTTTAGCAACCGGCAACAAAGATCCGACGAAATCTAAATGTTTAATTTCCGATAGCTCGCGGGACCTCAAGACCAACAATCGACTTTAAAACGAATTTAGATATCAGCCAATCAATGACGAAATCCTAAAAACAAATGTTTGAATTAGTAGCTATTTAAAATTGTATAATACTGTATTAAAGTTATAAAATATCAAAACCTTTTTCGTTTACACCAAAAATGTGTATAAGCATCCGTTTGTGAGCTTAAGGTTTACAGATTGCCTTTCAAAGGTAGGCCTACGCTTATAAACAGTAAAATTTGTACATGCATTATAAGCTCTAGCTATCTGGCTTTATCCCCTTGTATATTTGTGTAGCGCTTTTCTCAATTACATATTATTTCAAATCAGCTTTACGGAAAATGTTTCTATATTACAATTCAGAGTAATCTGTTATCAGAGGTGACTGAGTCTAAGAAATCTCCAAATGTCAGACAGTTCTGAGATGATGATAATAATACACACACAAAAACACTTGACATAGGCTAACTTTAAATTAAAGTAAATGAACGTCATGCGTAGTGAAAACTAATTTATGTGAACTTCACAATTTCCTTTAACTTATTTTTTTTTCAATTACGCATGAAATTTTATAATTTTAAAGCAACGGGTTTCCACACTTTTTAAGTTAAATCAACTGATTACTTTTTTTCATGCAGCAACAGTTAGCGGTTTTATTTTAGCTGTATTCGTTTAGACAGAAACAATGATCTCATTAAAGCAGTTACGACCATAGTTGTGATCATATATAATTAGGTCACAATTTGGCAGTTGCGATCATAATAATTAGGCTAAATATATATAGAGAAAATTTGGCAGTTGTGATCACAATAATATCTACAATATATAGGCAATTTGGTAGTTGAGATTATAATAATATAGGCTACAATATATAGAAAATTTGGCAGGTGTGTTTACGAAATGACACAAACGCGGCTCCTTTGAAAGTCCATAGCCGTTTTCTCAGAAATGCAGCATTGTAATGTTTTTTTTTAATTATTATTACACCTTTATGACGTGTGTGTGTGTGTGTGTGTGTGTACACAAAGTAAATAATAGCGGAGGTCGGTTAACAATTAATATGTGTTTGTATTTCGCTTTTTTTTTGCAATACACATTGTTTAGAAGCAGCTTTGCAGGATGTTGTACTATAACAGAACGTTATGTATGTGTATGTTAATATATCTACTAATTAAGTTTCAAATACTTGATTGAAGGTCATAGCACAATCCGTGTTTGCCCCCGTAAGGCTCATGCACGTGGCACGAATCTCACTCTGTAGCCTTGATTGTTAATAAAATATATCTGTATTATGTGAGATATAGTAGAGAACTATCAGGGATTTCTGACTACCTTTTACAGCAAATTTAATTAACTAATTTAAATAAGGACAATTGAGGACAAATGTATATTATTGGGGATTTTTTATTGATCTTATGAAAAATAATGGCAGAAGTTACAGTTGCATCAAGAAACAAATGTTCAAGGAAACTAAATCTGTTTATTTCATATGCGTTTCTTTCTGACTTTGCAGCACAACTAGTCACGTGGGCGTGGCTAAACGTTTGACTTTGCACATCACGTGATGGTGCATTAACAAATCAACAATTACCGTGCTCGTATTCTTTAGGGGTAACTAAAAACGTTTTTAAGACGCGTTCGGGCGAGCTCGTGAGAAATGTGCGAGCACAATCTCCTTAGCTCTGGCTATGTTGCTCCCCTTTTGAATTTTCACTCTCCCGACTCCCTGTACCTCCAAAACCTTCGAGGCAATGGAGTCCATCTATCTGGCCTTCCGCAGATGTCCTACAGTAGAAGTGAGGTGTGCTCGCTCCCGTGGACTTCTCCAAATGCGTGCACTCCTCCGGCCCAGAGCCGCGCCTACAGTGGCTTCGCTCAGCCGTTTTTCGGCAATTCAGCCGCTGTGAGCGCTAGCCTCAAAAAGGGCTCACTGGAGGAATCCGGGAGGTACTACTTCCAAGATGTCAGCCACAAATCAGACGAGCCAAGTCGACCTAATGCAGCTTACGCAGGAGAGCAGAGCTCTGTCAGCAACGAAGTTTCAAACTTGGAAAGGCGACAGCAGAACAGGGTTGAGCCGATTGAACTGACATCCATTGACCAGCCAGTGACCGATGCTTCAAAGCCTCCAGTCCAACCATCACTGAGCAGCCAGACTAGGTCAGCCTTCTCCGATGGTATGCAACTTCTTCCTTGACCCTGCCTATGCCATTCTGTGACCTTGATTTCAGCGTTTTAGGCCTGTTTATTGTTTGAGATGGCAACACGATCTCATGGAAATGCGTGTATATATAGCACGAATTTTATTTTTCGTGCAATTTACACGCAAAGAAAAATAAAATAAAAAATAAAATAAATACGTGCATAGCCTACTGTAAACCCACATGCACGTAAAAAAATTTTTTTGCGTATAAATTACACGATAAATACAATTCGCTATCGATACTCACTTTGCTTGCTTTGTTCAGTTATAGACAAGCTATTTCAGCCATTCTTCGTTTTTTCAGAACTTTTGTTGTTTTCATGTTTTTTTAAAAAAAATAATTATCATACAATACTGATTCAATATGCTCCACGATATAGCATATTAAATGTACTGGGGTCGACAGAGTTATGGTTGTCTTTAAGAGTTAACTTATACGCTGATTCAGTAACATGAGTGATGATGAGTATATACTATTTTTTTTCTCCTCCCCAGGACTACCATGGTGTCCCTCACAGGTGAGATCAAGAAAGAAGAGAAAACCTTACACGAAGCCACAGTTAGCCGAACTGGAGAACGAATTTATGATAAATGAATTTATAAACCGACAGAAACGAAAGGAGCTTTCGGACAGATTGGAACTGAGTGATCAGCAAGTGAAAATCTGGTTTCAGAATCGCAGGATGAAGAAAAAAAGACTCATGATGCGCGATCATACCTTCACTATATACTAATTACTTTTTTTTTTTTTTCAACAATTGTTGGGTTTGTTTTTTAGGTGGTGACATCATTCATACAAGAGACTTTTCTTGCTAGTCCACCAAATCTGGAAACGATTTTTTTCGCGAACACCCAAGAAATGTAATTTAATGTTCAAGTTGAATATATTGAAATGATATTTATTTGGCATATAGTCGCTGCATTTATGTGCCTGGTGTATGTTTTTTTTGGTGGAAAAAACGAGAATTCCAAAGTTATAATGTTAGCTTGCTTTACATAGTATAAAAAAAGAAAGCTTCGTAGTCTAGGACGGCAGCAAATTTAGAGTAGTGACGTGAATATTTAATAAAAATCATTTACAAGTTTTCTGGGTTGCTAATATATAAATGGGAGTCATTACATTTTTAATACATTTTGATAAAACCTCATTTCTATCTAGCGATCTGAAAACGTACATTTCACGTTGTTGCGTTTTTAATCAAAACTGATGTGTAATATTTATTAAGTGTTCCTGTAAATTCTGCATTATATTAAACTTCTGCATTCTGTGTGATATTTGTCTGATTTAATTCAGTGGGTGATTCTAAAATGCGCTAATAAAGTCCAAGCTCAAGTTCGAAGTTCTTCTGTAAATCTATATCATTTGTATATTTTCTTATTGTATTAAACTAGGAATTTAAATAGAAAACTTAGAGCTGCAACTGTAAATGCATTAAGGGTGTATATGTAAAGGGAAAATGTACGACTAAACTTAATTTTCACAGTAGGCCTATATTTACATTTGTTGATTGAAATAGCGTAATGTAAAAAATGTGTTATTAATGTGGCTATTTTTATGTTTGCTTTAAGAAATAAGTTCAATATGGTCAAATGTTCCTATTTTTACAAATGAGCTTGCTGAATATTAATTAGAATAATTTGAAAAGAGTATACGGAAGAGGTAAAGATGTATTAGTATCCTTTGTTGCATGAATGCGTGATATTACACGACAGAACTCGCATAAATCAAATACGAAAACTTGCCTATTTTTTAATAGAATTATTAACATGTGATATGTATTATATTCTTTGTAATTCCACATTTTTAATGCACATATGCTGTGTTTTCTATGTACTTCACTTTCTGTTTATTTGCAATGTATTTTGGTGAACAATGTGTTACAATTATAGGCTAGTATGCGAAATGAAAATTCTGATTCATAATTTAAGAGTAGTTTTACAAAAATTTGCCTAGTAGTAATGAGTAAATAAAACCAGATAAATAAATATTTTATTTTTATCATAGCTTATAGGCCTATATATTTACCAAACAAAATCAGACTAAACTCACGATGGCTGCGCTGTACACTTTCACCAAATGTGCTTAAGGATTTTCATTAATATAAAGGTATCATTATTTTAATTTAACATAAATATTTCTACCTATCAATGAATGACTGAATTAATCAATCAACTAATCAATAATACAACGGTATGTTTGGTCCAAGTTATCTGTCTTGATAATTCCTTTAAAAGTTAAAAGCAAGCGGAGAGTAAATATCTTGGGGGCTCTGCCAGACGACCGCTGTAGAAACTGGGGGCGCCAAAACAAAGTTAAGGTCAAGTTAGTGGCTTTCTTGCACTGACTTTCTTTCTACTAAGAATACTTTGCGGATTTAAAAATAAAGTTTGCAAGAAAAAAAAAAGAGCTCTCACATGGCCAAACCGCGTGACATAACTTTTCGATGCGCTTCCACTTAATAGTCTACAAAGTTAGCGTCATATTAATTGCGAAGATTGTTTTATTTTCTTCCTTCCTTCCTTTCTTTCTTTTTTTTTTTTTTTTTTTTGCTGTTTTAAAAAATCTTTGGACATCGACTGGTAAACTGATTCATATTTTGTTGGGCTTTAAAACGTTTAGGTTCTACACAGAACAAAGCAGCAACACATGAACAAGTCTTAGGATCGCAACAAGATAGGCCAAGGGTTCTTCGTTAAGAAAGCGCGATATGCTTCTATTTACGAAAATAGAAATGGAATTGTAAAACTGTGAATATTAAATAAGGTGTTTATTGAGTGTTACCGCGCAAGTTTAAGTTTTTTTTTCGAATCCACGAGCTGTGCTTAAATTAAGTAAAGATAACATTACGGTTAGGCTACTATGTTACCAAATTAAAAAATAATTATAATAAACCAGATTTTTTTAAACACCATGCTGTACAAAAAATATAATAGCGATGGCTGTTTATTTTGTTTAATAAGCTTAACAAAGACGGTTTTGTGTGTTATAATATATGAAACATGTAGATATCTGGAGAGAAAAAAAAAGAGAAAAAACACGGTAAATATACAGTTTTCACAGTCTCTCGGTAGGAATGTAGCAGTCACTGTTTACCTCCACACAGGACAGTACACCATAGCACATCCTTTTGTCTGTGCAATAAAATGATTTGGCTGACGGTTATTGGTGATTGCCGGCTGCGCTTTGTCTCAGACCACAGACGTTCAAAGCCAGAACAGTTGTTTTGTACTTGGCAGTGTGAATCAGTCTATCTCTTCCTTTTAATAACAGTGTTCGCTAAGCTTTACTTCTGGAATACTAAATCGGACAAAATGCAGATTTTCCTTGAAGCTAAAACAGAAAGGTACAGTTTTGAATATTATTACACTTAAATTATACGTAGCCATTTGTCTTTTTTTTTTGGAAAAGCATTCTTGTACATTGTTTATATCGTGACTAAATTTTTACTTTCTTTAGACTTTAGACTTCTTTAGAGTCTTTTGTGTAGAATAAACAGAAAATATGTTTTCGCTGCATCACAACAAATAGTTATGTTTGATGAACTGCTTTACGTTTCTCTCGTTTTGTGTTTCACCTCTCAAATCGTATTTTCCTTTTTCCCTTTCTCTTTTCTCTTCATAATTTCCTATGGCATGTCTCATGTAGCCTAAGGTATAATAGGATATGGACTTTACATTTCCTAGAATTTCAGTAAAATATCATATTGCAGCTTTAAAAAAAGAGATGAACCAATTCTTATAATAACACACGCTTAAAACGCGTTTAACAATGTACCGTGCATTTTCAACTTAAAGCTTGCAAATTTAAATTTCCGAGTTGGCTGTAAGGAGAGACTAAAAAAATTGCAATTTTGCTTCATAGTCAAAGTTTTCTTTCGGCCGTGAGGTTAAGTGGTTGGGAAACCTAGAAAAATATAAAAATAAAGCAATTGAATAATTCAACTTAATGTTTTACATTTGAAAAACATTGTTTAACGTTGAGATGAAGGTCTTTTATTTAATTACCCATTGCATGGTTTTAAACAAAATATTAAACGTGGTATTTCTGTGATTGTTTACTAATGCCTTGCAACACATGGGGGAATTAACATGGGAGTTTCAAAAATGTAGGCAACCAATGACCTGCCTCATGCGGTTACCTATGAGTCGCTCACTTAATGACTGATATTGATATATGGTAATTTTTTTTTACCGGATCACATGACACAATTACCTCAAGAATCGATCAAGATGAATTGCACGTCAGCGTACGTTTCCGATTTTTTCTTCCTCGCGAGTCCTATCCACACGCATATGGTGCAATAGATGGGCAAAGTTTAACAGTCAAGCTTACGATTTTTCCTCTCTAAGGCTAAAGCGAGCAATGACCGACTACGATGATCGCGGCAACTGTGCATCCAATATGTATTTACCGTACTATGTTCATGATTTCTCGTCGGTCTCATCGTTTTTACCACAAACAACGTCGTGTCAAGTAAATTTCCCCTATTCTTCGAACATAGCGCAAGTCCAACCTGTTCGTGAAGTGACTTTCAGGGACTATGGACTGGATCATCCGAGCAAATGGCACTACAGGGGCAATTACGCTTCGTACTATTCAACGGAGGAGATAATGCACCGAGATCTCCTACAGTCAACAAACAGAGCGGAAATTATTTTCAAAAACGATTCCGTGTATAGCCACCATCACGGTGGTAATAGCTCCTCGTGCAATTTCTTCACCAACGTCGGCCGAAACGGGGTACTTCCACAAGAATTTGATCAGTTCTTTGAGACTGCTAACTCGGAGAAGCCCAACCCTGAGCAGTCCGAACAAAAGCCAGATACAAGTGTCCCCGGAGATGCTGCATGCAATGTGTCTACAGATAGCGCGGACCAGACCAAGCAAGACCCCTCGGAAACCCTGGAGGAGGAATCCTCGATATCAACCTGCGATGAAGAGAAAAACAACGGCTCAAGTAGGTTCACGCTTCTAACACGGTTCAGTCTACCCTAAAGCTTTTATGTGGCACTTTATACGCATGCAAAAGTTTTTATATAGCTTGTAAGATTCTCTTTGCACTCGTAAAAATGTTTACTATGGGGAAGGCGCTTTCGTCGGATCATATAGGTTAGCCTACTCAAAACATTTCGTTTATGAACTGTTGTAAAGACTGAAATGATAGTCGCGATTCAAATCGAGAAAGACCGCACTTTCTTAGAAAGCCTCTTCTATTTTAGAAGCCTTCGGGCTGTCGCTTGATTCAGTGTTATGCAACATTATCACCAAAGATTTTAACTCAAAAGTGAAAGACTTTTAATCAAATCGAAAATACACGGACGGGTTACTCATGTGCGCGTGCGTGTGTGTGTTTGGACGTGAAGCGTGTGTGTGTGTGTGTGTGTGCCAGCGGTTGTGGGTCGTTTGCGTACATGACATGTGTGTATTTAATGTAGCAGTGTTTGTCTCGTTGTATTGCCTGTGTAAACATAATTTCGTTTTCCGATTGTTTTGTCTGTGTAATGCGGATTAAACAAAATGAAAACAAATTAGGCATTAGTATTCGAAGTGTCGGATAGACTCGAACTTCATCTGCCATTGTAGAGTTCAAATTCATTGCAATGTAATCAAGTTGCGTTTCTTTTTTTAGGTTCAACAAAGTCCAGAAAAAAGAGGTGCCCGTATACAAAATACCAGATCCGAGAACTTGAACGAGAATTCTTTTTCAATGTGTACATAAACAAAGAGAAGCGTCTGCAGTTGTCACGAATGCTCAGTCTTACAGACCGACAAGTGAAGATTTGGTTCCAGAACCGAAGGATGAAAGAGAAAAAGATGAACCGAGACCGTCTCCAGTATTTCACTGGAAATCCATTGTTCTGAAAGTCATGATGTATAGCCTACTTGCCGCTTCGGGAGACGATGGCTATCCTATTGTGTCATGATTGTGGGACATCATCCATTCGTCGGACACATGACTTATTTTCACGTCAACGCTGTATTTTACTATGCAAAATACTTGCTATCTAAAATGAATTTTATCCGCAATTAAAATTCTGCACAAATTAGCCTATCTACCACAATGTATCCGCAGTGAGGTAAATGATCAGTTATCAGGAACAGGTACCCCGACAATCTCTTCATACTCTGTGATAATGCCATTGGAATTCAGTAGCTTTGTATTTGTATTTATTTATTGTATTTTTGCATTCTCACATTGTAAGCAACCTTTGATTACATCAAATCAATACGTAATTACATTGAGTTAGAACTGTGTATGCATTTATTCGTTTGAAGCATGTAATGTATCTATGTATTAAATAAAAATACAGCAAGTTATTTGCAGATTTGTATTAATTGTTGTGACGTCTCTTTGTTTGTATGGTAGTGCGCGCAGCAGAATGCATTATTTAACAGTTATTTATTTTTTATTAGGCATAAATAGAATTATTTTACAGTGTTGCATTTCAAAATGTTAGGCCTACTAGTTTTCCAGATGAATGTTGTTTTCGATTATTACAGATGAAGAAGGAAAGTGAGATGAAGAGAGATCAATTTCCAATGGAAACTTTCATAGGTCTTTGACAAATTTCTTTCCTTGTATGTTGTTTTACACTAAGGCTATTTACTAAACCTTGAACAGTCTAGACAGTACACTAAACTCTGGGCAGTAAATTAAATTGGGGCTATTGGACCCTCTATCCACTTCAACTGTGACTTTGCCCTGAAAAACAAAGGGTGCAGATGTTTTCTTTTTTTCTGTCTAGAAAGAGGAGAACTGAGTAGCTACTATGTGAACAGATAAGAGTGGAAATCTAAAAATAGGCGTGTTATACAAAAGAGGACTAGTCTTCGTATTGAACTACTATGCGTTAGACATCACCCCATTTCGACAAGCTCATTTGTCTGTTTACGTAAAATATAGCACGTGAACACTAACCGTCTTGAACACAGTGGTTTACAAAGTTCGATTTCGTCAACAACTTCGAACGTCGAATGAAATATTGTATTTGAACTTCTGTAATGTCAAGGTCGTCACCCTTAACCTTATCGAATAAGTAAAGGCACCTTTTTTGCGGTTCTCTTTGAAAAACTACGCCCTCTCAGAGCCGCCGCAGTGCAGCACGTCCAATATGGCCGCCGCAACCCCTCAATCCCACTGATCTGCCTTCAAAGGCCTTCTCACTGATACCTCCTATACTATAGTTTAAATACTGCACATAGCCGCCGTTAAGCCTGGTAAAATGCTGTGTAAAATAAAACCATATAATACAACCATGTCAAATCCTCCATAATGTTTTCTTCAACAAAGGGGATTTAGGCAAGGGTAACAATGCAGTAAACGTCCTGACTGTTTAACGCTTTAGAGCGCCTCAGTGGTGTTTTCTTAAGATTATGCTATAAGAACCAAAAAGCTCCCAAAAGACTGTTGGTGCAGAAATTATTTGTCATTATATCAGTGGACATAGGCCAGTAAAGAAGCGGATACCTCTGTAGAATCAGAATATGCTGTAAAGGCAAACCTGATATTTTGGAGGCAAACGGAGAATCTTACAAGCTTTTGTTTCCTATATGTTTCCCAAATCTCTTAGCGTTTATAATTAGCCTACATATTAATACCAACCTCGTACGAATTAGTACGAGTGAGGTCGTACGAATTAGTACGAATTAGACACTTTTTAATCATGCGTCGAATTCGTACGAATTGGTCGTGAGATAGTGTTGATTAATACTGTATTGTTTTTATAATAGACTACTCTGCCTGTAATCTTAACATAGACAAACCCTTTATTTAGGCTATGTATATTTTGTTGATACTACTTGAAGCCACGAGAGGGCGAACTCACAGCAATGATTGGACCTGGTGCTGTGTGTAATCCAAGTGTAGTTTTCCTCAAAAACAATGACTATGATCTTGAGAGCGGAGTTGTGTGATCTAATCTATAACGTTTTTATGCTCGTTTACTAGCGGTTTGTTATTATTGAGATTCACTCCTATTCTCAATTAGATTTACCCTGTTGCATCGTATCTCAGAATATCCTGAAAACCGAAAAAATATATTTTAGTCACGTACGGAGGGTATTTTCATCTGCATAGTTGGAGACAATTTCAGTTAACATTTTCTTCATAGTCTCTGAGGTTAGCGTGCCTCTTTACGGTTCCCTTTTTTGGAAACAGAAAATAAAGAGACTTTCGATAAAGAGACATTAACACAACCACCACCACCATTATTATTATTATTATTTGTAGTTTTTGTTGTTATCCTTAATATAGCAATCGTATTACGAACGATTATGGCAGACAGATTTTGCAAGGGTTTGACAATCTTTTAGCTTTATTATAGCCTAAACAGTTCGCTGGAAGACTGCAGGCAAAAAATACAATTAAATATTCTAAATATCTCAAATGATACATGGATCATAACAGCTAGTCCACTAATTATTTAGGAAATGTATTAAACTGTACACGCATCTACATCCACTTATCGTTTATCTATTTAAAATATATATATATATATATATATATATATATATATATATATATATATATATATATATATATATATGCTATATGTATTACAATATATATATATATATGCTATATGTATTACACATAAGGGTGAACCAACAAATTAAAAAAACTCTTTTGAAGATGTAATTATAGGCTTTTTAGAGTATTTGCTTATAATTGCATAACCCAGATAATTTATGCATTTAGCATAATAGTTTAATAATTTGACACGTTTAATCGTGAACACTATACTAATATGACTATTATGTTCTGTGTTTATGTGTGTTTTCAGATGTCAGTCCTCTGCAGTGATTGTTATTTGTTTATTTGTTATTTATCTGGAAGATTTGTCAGCTTGCTATTTTTAGGAGGAAACCCATGATTTAGCGCGAAGCCTACATGCGTTCTTTTTTGTCTTTATGCTTTATCCAAATTATGTAAAGAAACCGTGCGCCCGTTTACCTAAAATCAAGATTTCTATAAAATAGTTATTGACTCATTATAGCTTGATATTTTAGAATTTTGTTTTATTGGTATGATTGGTTTGTGACGATATATTACACACTTGTAACAAATGATTAATTCGATGGCATATAAATATAGCAATATCATTTAATTCTCCTTGTGCATTTTCAATGTATCCATTTCTTAAGCAGAGATAATATGATATCCTTTATAAATGCTGTTAAATTCTGCAAACGTATTTAGTTATTAGGAATAATATACTCTACGTGTTTTCTCACAATAATTTTATAATGATGCATATAGCATGTTTTCGCTGAGCGAAAATGCACGCATTTCTAAAGTCAATGTGTAAATGCGTTTACCACAGTATATCGGACTATTTTACAAGACAAATAGCATAAGAATTGATAAACTCCACTCTGTTCATATATGAAAGAACTGCATTAATTGCACAAAACAGAAAAATCGTTTAAACATTTGACTTGCGCTATAGCCTATATTTTGCAAATATAGAAACAAATACTTTACATCCTAATAATGATAATGTGACTGATAACTTGTTCCTGATAAAAAGCACTGACTAGCTATGATTTAACAATCATATTTAATTTTGAAAATAGCAGCAAACAACAATCAAGGTATTACATGAATTATTAAGTAGTAATAACATTTGAATTTCCTTTGCATCCAACAAAAAAATCAATGTGCAAAGCATGCAAAAGCATTTGTGTCTATTAAAACATAATTCATGACAAAATCGAACATAGAAAGGATGAATCACAATTTTGTTTTTCAATCATAATCGAGTCAGCGGTGTTTAGGCCCGCGTCCACCGGCTCATTTTGTTCTGCATAGTCCTCTGCATTTTGCCTCGTGAACTACGAGAAATCTTCAGACATTTCCTATCTTGACCTTGAATGGAAATGAAAGGTAGCTATACAAAATAGACTGTGCTAAATGCTATAAATTATGATCCTTGTTATTGGTTCTTTGTTTAACAGCAGGCCTATATATGAGTGCAAGTTTTCATTTTATATGTTATCCTGAAATGGATTTAACAACGTTTTTTCGGCAGTCTTGAAACCAATTTCAAGTCCTTGTTCTAGGTGTCGCTGTTGACCACGTCTGAAACTTCAAATCATGTTTCAATGCGCCCACGTGACGGGGAAGAGCCTGCGTCTCAAGGCCATTTTCAAATTTCATTGGTGAGAGTGTCATGTGGTTGCAGAGAGACTCGCTGGTTATACAGGGATTGTTTTGCTAGATATGTCAGCTTCCAGAGGACACTTCTCTGCATCTTAAAAAAAAAGAAACTCTCCAAAATGTCCTTTCCCAACAGCTCTCCTGCTGCAAACACGTTTTTGGTAGATTCCTTGATTGGGGCGTGCAGAACAGATTTTTATTCCAGCAGTAACATGTACATGCCAGCCACTGCAGAAATGGGAACCTATGGAATGCAAACCTGTGGACTCCTGCCGTCTCTTGGCAAACGGGGGGAAGTAAACCACCAAAACATGGGCATGAACGTCCACTCGTACATACCTCAAACTGATACCTGGGCAGATCCAAGCAGGTCCTGCCGATTAGAGCAACCGCTCAACCAGATGTCCACCTGCACATTTTCACAAAGCATTAAAGAAGAGACTAATTGTTGTATGTACTCCGACAAGAGAGCAAAGGTCAGTTCGTCTGAGATACCCGCGTACTCCAACCTGATCCCCGAATCATGTTCCGTTGAGAGTCCCGAGATCCCGGTCCCTGGATATTTCAGACTAAGTCAAACTTACGCGACGGCGAAAAACCCGGACTATGACAACGAGACGATGAGCCCAAACACTACGTTAATGCAGCTGAACAGGGTGACTCCAAAGTCGCAGTCAACGCCCTTTGTCGAGGTGGAAAAGAAGCTTACGCTCGATCGGGACACAAGGAGCTCTTCCCCGGCGCAGAGTCCAGATCCCAAACTCAGCTCGCTGGAGGAGAAGCATTGCTCAACTGAGGCGTCTGTCTCCAGCCCTGAATTGCCTCACAGAGAAAGCAAAGGTGAGTACAATAAACGGATTAATCGCGTCTCGGTGCAACGCGAACGCTCTAGTATCATAAAACCCAATATAAAACACAAACAGCCCGAAAGTCGTAATGTTTAATGGGAGTCTTTCTCAGGTTGCAGTAAAAGCTCTAACAGGAAACGGCGCTGCGAGGGCGCGTTAACATCAAATACCTTTTGTTGCAAGTGACTTGACATTCTTCTTTGGTCAATTTAAGAACAGCATTGGTGAAATGTATTTGCGACTTAATCCATTCAGCACGAGAATGAATGTTCTTTTGATGTAGAAATTATTCATTGCTTTTTATTTGATAT